AATAATTTAAATTATTTTTATTAACATGTACTTTTAAACTCTGATCATAAGAAAAGTGCTTTTTGCAGCAAAATGACAGTACAGTCAACAAAAACTCCCAAAAAACTTTGCGAGCTCTTTTTTCCTCACTCTTTATTATATTTCCCCCCATATTTTCCTGATTTACTGGAACTCCTTCTCACTGTTGTGTTCTGTTTTGTCACTTCTATCCAGAGGAGGTGAAGTAGTTTTTGCTGATATTATGACAAAAGAAAATTGGCTCTGGCTCATATTGTTCTCTCCATTTCTATGCAGATGATTCCCAGATTTATTTGGCTAATAACCCATCTAACAAAAAGAAAAAAATTGTGTAGGTCTTCTGGACGGGTTCTTCTCTAATGAAACGTTTCGTCTCTCCTCCAAGAGACTTCTTCAGTCTGAGAGTTTCAGAACTGAAATTCAGAACTGAAATTCAGGCTTTTAGCTTGAATTTAGCCTGAAACTCTCAGACTGAAGAAGTCTCTTGGAGGAGAGACGAAACGTTTCATTAGAGAAGAACCCGTCCAGAAGACCTATACAATTTTTTTCTTTTTGACTTTTTTTTTTACCTGGATTACTGAGATGCATCAGGACAATTCAAACTTGTCCATGTGAACATTCAACAGTATGACCACACATTATTTATCATGTGGCCACGGGATAATAATATTTTTTTGTACTCTGTCACCGGATGAGCTCCACACAGTACGTTCTCCAGTGGCTGATATGAGTTAAAAAAAAAAGAAGCAGATACCGGTCTGTGTGCGTCTGTTTTTTGATTGGCTTCAAATTTGATACTTTTATTTTCGATTTCCCAAACGGTACAGTTTGTTGTTTTTCACTTTTCATCACCTGATGTTATGTGATAACTTGTGTGACCTCAACAAAACATCTCATGAACCAGTTGATGGATGTTGTTGAAACTTTCATAAATACTGGACGACCAGTTGACTTTTTGAGTCCCCTTTATTCAAGATGGCTGCCACAGCTAATCAACTTTTAGATTTTCACAGACACTGACATTAAAATATGTTGTGGTGGCAGCTGACAGTCATTCAGAACACACACTGCCCTACTTGTTGCATGTAACCTTATTTTCATGGTTATACGTTTGTAATTTCTCGACATCTTGAATGAAAAAAACTGTACGTTACATTTACCCTCTCAACACCTCAGGTAATGGATTTACTTGTGATTTTGAATGTTTGAATGTTCTTGATTTGTGAATCCTCCTGCTCTGTTTCCTCTGGGTTTGTTTGCTTCCTTTCATCTGAACTTGTTATTTTGCAGTGATGGCTGCTCTGGTCTGGATTTGGAGGGCGCTCCCTGCTCAGTTGTTGGTCCTGTGCATGCTCGCCAACATCTCTGGTAACTGATTGGCTTATCTCAGATGTCTGATTTGATTTTTTTCTTTTACATTTGTGGGTCGTTTAGTATTTTCTGTTCAACAAAAGCGATGTCGTCATTGGTTAGATAAACATGTATTTGACAACACTTAGAAGAACTTAGACATGTAAATTCGATGCAGAAGTTTGTTGGTACGTTTTTGTTAAAGATAGAAAACCCACAAAGGTCACTGAAATCATCTGAAATGAATACAATTAATCAACCAATGAAAATGAGGAACAAGAGGAACCACAGTGTTGTATGCGTAGATGAGCAGCTTTGGATGAAGGGCAGGAGTTCCTCTCCCCCCCCTGGGGTCTGGGCACCGGTGGTGGTGGGAGCCCTTGGAAGGCAGAAGACGAAGGGTGGAGGAGGGATATCGGTAGGTTGATATTCGGTTGGTGAGCAGACAGAAAAATGAGAGGACGGTTTTATCCACTGACTGTCAGACGCTGATTGGATGCAGCTGGGCTCGTGGCGCTGCGGCTGGATGAGCAGGTGAGCTCGTTTAGCCTTCTAGAGTTGAACTTTCGTCTAAACTCCATTTAGCAGTTCTGTCGCAAATAATGTGATGTAATAGTTCAGAAAACATCATAGAAAACAGAGAAAACTAAACAGGTTGGAAAATACGAACCAAACAAAATATAAAGATATCTTTGCAGCACCAGGAGAGACTAAATTCAACTTTTCTGCACTCGTAGAGACTAAGTAGAGCTGGGCGATATGATCAAAATTTTATATCACGGTATTTTCAACATTTTCACTGGTTTCACTGTATTTGATGGTATTTTTCTTTTCATCACAGCTCAGCTGATAATAAAATGTACAAAACCTGCTTATTGACTTTTTTTTCTTTTACTGTAGCTCTGCCTGTGTCTCTGTTCCCCTCCTCTGTGTCTGTTCTTCTCTGACTGGTGGTTGCAGACAGTAGTCATGTATTTTGGTCCAGTCGTGAAGGAGGAGGGTTAAGAAAAGATTATGATCGGGTTTATTGTTTTATGTTATTTATTAAAGCTTTTCAGCACGACTCACCTTGCACACCAGTCAATTCCAACTCCACTACTAACTACTTCCTGCAGGCTTTTCACAATAGAACCACGTTAAGTCTCCATCAGCACAACGTCTCCATATTAACTAACCGCGTTAAATCTAACTGTGCACGTCACTGAAGAGGTGTTTACTACATTCAGGGACGGCGAAAACGGGATTTTTTTTAAACGTCAGTCAATATAATCAGCGGAATCGCCACCCGCGGCTGCAACTAGCTGCTCCAAACATTAGCATGCTAACGCACATAGCGGTGCAGCAAAGAAAAATGTCCCCCGGGAAACAACAGTTCACTGGCGGCCGCGACGAAACGTTCCGCTATTTAAACTGGAATGTCCGGTATTCGAAAAAATCATATCATAACAAAAATAAAAACCGGTATTCGGTACAAAACAGTATACCGCCCAGCACTAAGACTAAGTACACAGCAACATGAGTTTAACAGCTAAAAAGTGGATTTTGCACATGTCCCCTTCAACAGAAGCCTGTCGATTACTCATTTCAGTCAGGTGTGTTGAAGCAGGGAAACATCTAAAACATGCAGGACAGTGGGCAAAAAGGCACGGGGTATGCCCACTGTCATGTATGACGAGACATGTCTCATTTTGTTTGATCCAAAAAAAAAGATCCCAGACATTTGATTGTTCATTTCTGCAGTAGAATTGGCTGAATCTGTTTTCATTTTTTGATTATTCCATAGAATCTGGAGTAAGTCTGAGTGTTCCTGAAGCTGTTACACTTGAAGAAAGCGCCACAGCGACCATCATTATTTCTTCCAGGTAATCACAGAAACGCACTGAAACAAACATGAAAACATCATCAAACATCATCTGTATTTCTTTTTTTCCCCTTTTCAGTTGACATTATAACTTCCTATTTAAATTTCTGCGTTTCTTAATTACACTGTACAGTATATAGTAGACCTTTATAAAGTTGTCCAGCATATATAAAGTGACATGAAAAAAAAATTAATGAACTGTCTGGAAGTTGAGCCTGTAATTCATACAAGGATCGTGCAAAGTGTGAATAAGGTTAGATTGTGTTATACAGCAGTTAGTTAAAAGAGCCAACCAAACACGCTAATGCTAACATTTACAGCTCTGCTTTGACTGACAGACTTGTTGAAAATGTCTAAGCTCAACAATTCCCTTAAAGTGCCTGTGACTTGCTTATCCTTCAAATACAAAAAGTCAAAGAAAACATATTTATATTTAAGAAAATTAGCATAATACACATGATTTTAACCATTTTGTCCAATAACTGGCATATTTTCTCTTGAATTTGGCTCAGCAAAGTGAAACAGGAAGTGACATCAAAGGGGAACTTTTCTAAGAAAAGAAACTCTCTGGTCTTTGTTTATTAAAACAAAATTATTTAAACTCTTCTTCAACTCTAATAGTGACTCAAAATAATCTAAAGAAACATCAGATTCGTCTCTAATTATTGTAGCATCGCTCTGTTCACAAACACGTTCCCTATGACATCACTTCCTGTTTCGTCACATGCAAATATCTCAAGAGCTGTTCATCTCAGCAGCATGAAATTTGTTTTGCAACGTTTTCAACGTTCTCTTTCCAAAAACGCATTCACATTAATTACAACCATTTGATGTCACAGGCACTTTAATCTTGCTGTGTTTCTGAGCCACAAGAAGGATTAAAAGAAATGTGAACGTGTTGTCAGGATATGTGACCATCTGCCTTCACCGGCTGGAGTTTGAAAAGACATGAAAGAGATACAGAGTGTAGTTTATATGGGAAACAATGAAAAACAGGTTAATGGCAGTGGTTATTTTTAGGGCGGTGAAATTAATCGAGTTAACTCAAATTGATTAATTTTAGTGCTGGGCATAAATTAAAAATTTTAATCGCGATTAATATGTAGGTGTATGTTGCAATGCACTCCATGTCAGTGCATGCCAGGTCATGTTTGTAAATGAGAAGTGATTCTCAAACAGTTTACCTGGATAAATTAAGGTTAAATAAATAATATAAAATAAACTCCATGTGTAACACATTATGTACAGTTTTTTATTCTTTTTGTCTTCTTATGGCTTATTTTATTTTATTTATTTATGTTTTTCTGACAACTGTGACCTTGTTATCTATCTTTCATTCCTCATGTAGTACTCATTTGGAATGAAAATCCTTGAATTCTTCATTTAACCTCATTATTCTGCACAAAAATTAACTGACTCAAATATGTTTGGAGCATTTTTTAGTTCCTGTTTTATATTCAAAAAATCAAGTCTAAGCACCAATTAAAAAAAAAATAAAAACATTAAAAACTAATTAATAACTCAAGTAATTCATTTTRTCAATACGCAATAGAAATGTATATACAATTTAAGATTAATCGAGATTAATTCATAGCTACTTTGGGATTAATCAGATTAAAAATATTAATCATTTGACAGCATTAGTTATTTTATATGTAAACAGGGAGAGGAGAGAGTAAATACAGCAGCCGAGTGAGGAAATGTGCTCAGTTTGTCCTCCAGCAGTCTAAACCTAAAGCAGCAGAACTAAGGAATAATTCAGGAAACCTAAGTCTAACTATATGATTTATCAAAAAGGAAAGTCTTCAGTCTAATCTTAAAAGTAGACAGAGTGTCAGCTTCATGGACAGAAACAGGAAGTTGGTTCCACAAGAGAGGAGCTTGATCCTTCCAACTCTCATTAAAACTCTAGCAGCAGCATTTTGGATTAACTGAAGACTTCTTAATGATTTGAACATGATCATCATGATTATATTTACTGTTGAGACAGCTTCCTCCTCAGAACTGGTCCATCTTGTTTGTGCTCTAAAATCAAACAATGGTTTCAGCAGGAAACCTTCTGTATTATGACTTACCTCTTTATTTTCTACACAGACATGAACGCAGGGGATTTATTACAAGTGAAATTGTGTCTCATAGACAGTTTTCTAGCACAGGTGTGACAGGACAACAGAGCAATATTCTGCGAGGTTCATTGGACTTCACACTGTTTCTGTTCTGTTTTGTTTTTTTAGTTCACCTGAACATCAGTCAATGGTGATTCAGTTAAATGTAACATTCAGCTCTAAGAAAAACTACTCATCCATCATAACCCTGCCTGAACAGGTAATAATACTGTATACACTAATTCTGAAGAAGTTACATTTTTGGGGGCAGCAATACATCTCTAAAAGGTTAAGACAGAGGGAACAAAAGGGTGAATAAAATAGCTGGAAGAGCATTTTTGCAACAAATCAAGTTAATTGGCAGCAGGTCAGTAAAAAGACTGGGAGTAAAAAGAAAGTAAAAATGGGCAGAGGTTCACCAGTCTGTGAAAAACTGCATCCCAAAACAAATATATATGTAACAAATATGTTCCTCATTAGGAACTGGTCTCCTCAGTTCCAGACTGTGGGAAAAAAAGCCCCATCCCAAAGTTATTTGAGATGTGTTGCTACCATAAAATTTAAAATCATCTTATTAAAAAAATGTCAATATGTTTACTGTGTTACATTGTACATAATGCATGGGTTTATAAGATTTGAACACAACAGAATTATTTGATTTTTCCGCAAAGAACAGTCCTGTTTCTGTAATTCCTCTGTTTTGTGTATATGTGAAGGTGTTCCTTCCAGAGGAGGCTACCGCAGTTAATTTCACAGTGACGTCACATGATGTTGGTCAGGTGACTACATACCTGCTCAGCAACAACTCAGATCTCGACAGGTGAGTTCAGAAACAACCAGAGGTCTACAACTCTTACAATCAAAAGAGCCATTTCTGCTCCTCAACTCGTTAAAATGTTTCCAGAGCAGCAAAATGTGCTACAACTGTGAGTATCAACTGGTGGCCCGTGGGCCACTTCGAGTTTGTTTAATGGGGGCCTTTCTGGCCAGCGGGGGTGACATTATAAAGCTAAAACTGTATCGCAACTTTTAATGTTTATTATTATTTTTACACTTTAGGACAAAAGAAAAGACCATGTTTATGTAAATAAGAAAAATGCTGCTCATAGTTTATACCAAATATAATAAAAACTAGACTGAACTGCAGGCACATTTTTATTTCTAATTCTTATCTAGCCTACTCTTAAAGGTCTTTCAAGCTAGCCCTGGACCAACAGGCTGCTATCATGATCTAATCAACACGTTTCTCTCTTTGCATTATTGATCACATATTTGCAAACAGATTTAAAGGAAAACAACTAAAGCTAGCCTTTTTCTATTGAGTGTAAAATCAAAAAAAATGTAATCACATGTTAGGTTAGACTCCAGATTCAAAGGTTGCAGACCCTCAATATAAGCAGTCAAATAAATTAATAGGGAAAGGAACTCCCTCTTAATTAAAAAAATAGTCTTTTAACAGTTTATTACTGAAGACTTGTTCAGCAGAACATCTCATGGATGACTCAGCTAAAAGCAGCAAAATCGGTCTGACCTGATTGTCAGAGTGCTGATTGAACAAATCTTATGAGTAAAACACAGCAACTGCACTAATCTTGTCCTCTACGGACGGTTGTATGAATTAGAGGGCAGTGTGTTCTAACATTTATGTGTGAACAGATACGCTTTTTATACAGGACTTCTATTTCTCCTAACAAGGACACATCAGAGGATCTATCAGTATCTTATCTTTCTACAACAGTGACAAACTTTTATGTCCACATGCTCAGTTTCATACTGTTTTTTTTATCAGATTTTATTGTTTCGTGATGCATAAATTGTTGGATAACAAAATACAGACATTGTTCTGACAATCAGTAATCCACTGTCTTTCTCCTTGATTGGTTTGTCTTCCAGGATCCGGTTCACAGTGATCCACAGCAGGGTTCTGTCAGTGATCAGTGAAGTGATTGGATGGATCTACTTCTTGGCCTGGTCCGTGTCTTTCTACCCTCAGGCGTGGGAGAACTGGAGGAGGAAAAGGTAGATTTCTCAGACAATTAAAAAAAATACAGAGTTCGGCATAAGATTCTCATTCAGTTTTACACTGCCATTATTCAAAGCAAACTCACCTCATCCATAATAGGCTGGTATGGAAACTTGGACACTCATTCACACAAAAAACTTCAGCGTTTAATAGATAAATCATCAAAAATTACAGGCTGTGCCCTCCCATCCATTGACACATTGTATCACAGAACACATTACACAACGAGCAACGAAGATCATCTCAGACCCCTCTCATCCTGCATATCATCTGTTCACACATATGCCTTCTGGAAAACGCTACAGGTACTTATCAACAAAAACTGTCAGATTCAAAAACAGTTTTTTCCCAGCTGCTGTACAGTCACTAAACCAGATCACTAATTAATATCTTTTAGTGCACCCTTTGTTTGTATTGTTGTTTGTTCTGACACAGAGATGTGAGCATGTCATGCTGTACCGGAAGCAAATTCCACCAACTTGTTGCATAGTCATTAATAAATGAATCTGAGTCTGAATCTTATCAGTCTGTCCTCGGCTCTGTTGTGGATTGTACAAAATGTACCTTGGGCCATGTATTGGCAAGAATTTGGCGATACGATACATATCATGACAGAGGGGTCACGATACGATGTATCCCGATAAATCCCGATATATTTCGATACTGTAAACAAGGCGATATATTGCGATAWTTTTGGTCCAAAAATTCTATTAAATAAAAACCTCTTACTGGAAAAAAAACAACGAAAAACCAAAATTCATTGTCTCAGAAAATTCTAATATCACATAGACACACTTTTGATACATTTAGCTGTGTTCTGCTTTGTATGTGTTTTATTTTATTTGTTTCATATTTCTTATTTCATCCATGTTTTCAATTATTAGACTAAATTTGCCAATAAATAGTTTGAAAATATATTTTTTGCAGCTTTTAGTTTTTAATATTAATCTACAATATGGTCACCAAACACTTAACAATAGCCTTTATGTTGTCATAAAGTTCAATAAACAGATGATATGAAGCTGCTGCACACAGAGTTTCTGGGTTCAGCTGACCTGCATCCAGAACGATTTGTATAACTGTGGGTCGAACAGCAGGTCAGGTCCCGAAGAAAACCAGTTAAGAAACTGAGAAGCTAAACGAGTTAAACCGTTTTTGAAGCGAACACAGCAGGATAAAGTATATGGACTTTGATGCGATCAGCCGGACATCGAGAGCAACAGACAGAGTTTTATGTCACGGGGGGAGTGCCGAGCTCGCTCGAGGTGGTAGACGCATACGCTATATGCGTAACGTGAAAGCTGACTACAGTTGGAAAAAAGAGCGCACAAGACACTTAATTTGGCTTAAAATACAGACATTCTGACAAATAAGTAACTGTTTGTTACCTTACCTCAGCTTAGAAGGCAGAGGGTGTCGGTCGTTTCCGCTCAGATTCAACTATCGGAGCATGAAGCTAATGTTTACTTACAATGCTAATGCTCTCTTACTCTCTGGAGCTCAAGAGGTAGAGGAGCCAAATGGCTGGCTCACTGCTGCCAACTAGTGGTCAGAGGCTGAAGTACAACACAAAAATAAACGGCTGGCAGGAAAGTCGACATTTTAAACTTTAATAAAAAATCGATACAGGGCTTCAGAATATCGATACAGTATCAGGAAAAGAAATATCGCGATATTTCAGTGTATCAATATTTTCTTACACCCCTAAATGTACCACAGAATAGAAGAGACCTTTTATATGTGCAAACATAAGGACCGTGTTGTTTTGTGCCAGATTGAATTTTTCACAATTTGACATACACTCATTTATCTTTACAACACAGATATGTTATGACTCTATGAAACGTTTTACACAAGGATGTGTAACAGATGACCAATATCAGCCAGTCTGGTTTAGACACTTCAACACTTGCAATACTTGATCAAACCAGCAGTGTCTGATTTTAATTTAGCTGCACAAAGCTCTAGTTGAAACCAGATGTTCTACATTTACACTGTTTTAAAAAGACACACAACCGGTTTTTCTCTGTCTGACAATAATTCACACTAAACATTTCTTGTTTCCGGTCAGTTAGTATTAGGGCTGAACGATTAATCGCAATTTGCGATAATCTCACGATATGTTAAAATGAGATTTTCTAACCGCACAGGCTGCGATTTGACTGGTCACGTGATGGGAGTGAGCCGAGCGGAGCAGTATTGCCAATTGGCGATGTTGCTAGATCTAGCGCCTTTTTTTTTTCTTCAAAAAAGTGACTAGCGACAAATCTGGTGACTTTTCACTGTGTTTTTGGAAACTTTTAAAAGCTTTGATGACAGCACTTTCCAAGCACTTTTCTTCAAGCAGGGAGCCCCTCCCCCTTCCTAAAACTTACCTCGTGCAGCACACACACACACACACACACACACACAC